GCTGCAGAAAAAACCAACAAAGAGGGAAGCGTTGAAAATAGTGATGTCGCTGTATGACCCTCTCGGCCTCGCCTCCCCAGTTACGATACGCGCCAAGCAAATACTGCAGGAAGCGTGGAGACGAGGAACAGACTGGGACCAGGAGTTGGACGAGGACCTGAGTAACCATTGGTCCACATGGATCCAACACCTGGAACGTCTCAAAACAGTAAGCATACCAAGATGCTACCCGGGATACAGCGACGCACGCTCCCTCCAAGTGCACGTATTTTCAGATGCCAGTGAAAGCGCCTACGCAACGGCAGTTTACTGGAGAGCAACGACACCCGATGGGCAAGTGTACGTGAGCCTCGTCATGGCCAAAGCGAAGGTAGCTCCGCTCAAGGTAACATCCATACCTCGCCTTGAGTTACAAGCCGCCGTGATGGGAAGTCGAGTAGCTGCGGCTGTCATCCAGGAGCATCACGTAAAGCCCGAAGCTGTCACTTATTGGACTGACAGCAAAACTGTCCTCACCTGGATAAAGAAAGGTTCCAGGAGCTACAAACCTTTTGTAGCACATCGAATAGCAGCAATAGAGGACAATAGTAAAGTGGACGACTGGCGCTGGGTACCCACAAAATTGAATATAGCTGACACCGCTACGAGGGACGTACCACCCAATTTCGACTCTAACCACGAGTGGTACAGTGGCCCATCATTTCTATACAAAGAGCCGTCAGCATGGCCAACAGAACGACCCACGTCATCCGAACCTACTGGTGAAGAAAGATCTTTCACCATCACAGAAAGATATAGAGCTCCGCTATATAAAGAGGCCATTCCCGATCCGACGAAATTTTCGAAATGGGAACGCTTAGTGCGAGCTACGGCCAGAGTGCTTCAATTCATAACACTCTGCCGCAAAACAACCGACAGGACCTTTTATAAAAGTACAAAAAGAAATAGAGAGGAAGACCCCGACTGGAGGAGATCGAAGTGCAATCCGCGACGTCTCGCGCAGCCTCCCAGTCAGGTGAAAAGCAAAGATGTAATTAAATACATCACACTGGAGGCCGAATATATAAGAAAGGCCGAAAAGCTCCTGGTACATGTCATCCAGGAAGACTCCTTCACACAAGAGATAGCCGATCTCCGTAACGATAAGAGGGTCGCCCATGATAGCCGCCTACGACCACTACAGATACAATTGAAAGACGGGATCATTGCGCTACGAAGTCGAATAGCCGCTGTAAAAGGAGTCTCTGAAGATATGAAAGGGCCAGCTATATTGGATGGTGATCATCACATCACCCAATTGTATATTGATTGGACGCATCGTAGCCTGCATCATTGCGGGACCGAACCAACCATCAACGAGGTTCGACAGCATTACTGGGTAATCAGACTAAGACCCACTACTAAAAGAATAGTAAGCCAATGCGTTCGGTGCCGCATAAGAAAGGCACAACCATCCATGCCAGCCACCGGTGATCATCCCAGCACGCGTCTCGCACATCACCAGAGACCGTTCACGTTCACCGGCCTGGATTATTTTGGGCCACTCTCCGTAACAGTGGGACGTCAGCATCAGAAGAGATACGTGGCGCTCTTCACCTGCCTTACATCACGAGCTGTACATTTGGAAATTGTGAAAGATCTCAGCGCAGATTCTGCCATACTGGCATTAAGAAGATTCGCAGCGCGCCGAGGATGTCCCACCGAGATTTACTCGGACAACGGCACCAATATGCACGGTGCCGACAAGGAGCTTCGAGAGGCCTTCCGAGAAGAAGCCAGCCGACGAGGCATAGTCTGGCGATTTATAACCCCCTCCGCGCCTTTCATGGGAGGGGTGTGGGAACGGCTTGTTCGATGCGTGAAGACGGCACTATACACCGTCCTTCATGAGAGACATCCGCACGAAGATGTCTTGACCACGCTGCTCTGCGAGGTGGAATATACAGTAAACAGCAGACCATTGACTCACATCTCAGTAGACAGCAAAGACAACGAGTCCATCACTCCAAATCACTTCCTATTGGGAGGATCTGCGAGACTGCCAACACCTGGAGTTTTTAGTGAAAAAGATGCGAACAGCAAAAAACACTGGCGACGCTCCCAGATACTCGCTGACATGTTCTGGCAGCGTTGGGTCAAAGAATATCTGCCGGAACTTCAAAACCGGCGGGAGGCCCACGGTCAAGGCCCCGATCTCCAGGTGGGCGATCCAGTCCTCATAGCTGACAGCCAGTTACCTCGTAACACCTGGCCACGAGGAAGGATTGAAAACATATACCCCGGGGCGGACGGACAGATCCGCACTGTGGAGGTACGCACAGCGAATGGAATAATCAAGAGGCCAACCAGAAAACTCGTGCCGCTGCCGAAGTAGAGGCAACGTCTCTCACCGAAATTATGCAGCGCCGCTGCGACGGGTCTTCGCGACGCTGCACGGCGGGAGAAATGTTCGAGACGGCCAAAATGACTGTTCACAACGGCAAAAATGACTTTAAACGAGAAAGTGATTAAGGAATATTTATTTGTTTAAAAAATGAAAATACGGAAAAATTGACTAAATAATGTATTAAATATAGTTTTACCATGTATTTACAACTCTCAATATGTTTGTATAGAAGGTCGATTTGACAATAGTTAATATAAACAACTTTATTTTGTTTAAGAAAATATCGACCAATCACAGCGCGCCGCGCTATAGAACTTTCTGGAAATTTAAATTAACTGCGTAATAGTTTTAAGCAAAAAATTAATGAGAATAATTTTATGTCTGAAAAGAGTTGTAAATATGGTATTTAGTTAGCATATGATATATAGATTGAAATAAGTAAATAGATAATTTATGTAAATAAACGCATTTAAGAAATATAGTAAAATTAAAGATTTAATGTGCACTTTTGTTATGTAAAATAGGTACATTTTGATTAATAACTTTTTTGAATGTAAATATATCAAGTAACCCTTATCACATAATGATAAAGGACAAAAATGCCTATTTTGTAGTGTATAGCATGTTAGTGTAAAAATTAGCATTATATAGAAAAAATTGCAATTTGTGCAAAATACATAACGAAAATGTTTGATAATAAAAGGGCAAAACCGGAAATTGGCAAGCGGCTCTCTATAGAGTATAGCCGAAGTCTACCTTATGGGGGCAAATCACAGTAACATTGTAGTAGTAGGAAGAACTACCAGTAACAAGCAGCAGTATCCGGTAGTAGCTGAAGTGACTAGTAGCAGAACACAGTGAAAAGTTAAAGTGAAATAGAAAAGTTTAGCTAGCCGAAAAAGGTCGTAACTGAAAAATCGCAGTTACACATAGTCGGAAAAAGTGGCAACTGAAAATTCTCAGTTGCACATAGAAAAATAGTGTCAGCTAGCCAAAAATAGTGGTAACTGATATTCGCAGTTACATATAGTGAAAAAGTGTTGGCTAGCTGAAAAAAGTGGTAACGGAAATTTCGCCGTTACATTTCGTGAAAAGTGTTAGCTAGACGGAAAAAGTGGTAACTGATATTCGCAGTTACAAGTGTTTAAATTCAACTAATTTTAGTTGATTAATAGCTGCTAGTCAGTAGTGTTAGAAAACCAGCTGCTACCAATAGAAATTTTGGATACTACCAATAGAAATTTGTTACTTTCAATAGATATTTAAAATTACCAATAGAAATTGTAGAGAATACCAATAGGAACTTGTTACTGCCAATAGAAATTTGATATTCCCAACAGATATTTTAAAAATACGAATAGAAATTTTAGAAAACCAATAGAAATTTTAATATTACTGTGTGTTTAATTAAATCTGTGTTTTAAAATATATAGTGAAAAATCATAGTTGAAAAATAGTGATAAATAAATAACAGTGTAAAATCTCGCGACAAATAATTAGTCGATCCGCTGGCCACTCCCTTGCTATTTTAATTTACAAATCGTGCATTTTAATTCTGAACCTCAGTCCACAGTTTATTCGCAGCAACCAAAGAGACGGCAGTGAAAGACGGCAGTGAAAGACGGCAGTTGGAGGAGTCTGGAACCTACAGGTGTAGGACGTGAGCGACTCGCGGGGTATCTCCGACAACATTTACTCCGGAGATTTTCGCCCGTCCGGCACACAACTTATGTCAAAGAACCGAATTGATTGACCCCGACTCCACCTGGTACGAGTCTGTCCTACCCCTAGAGTAGTTTTATAGCGCCGGAGACGTAGCAGTCTCAAAATAGATACAGAAATCCTTCTAAATCAGTCCCCTTATTTTTTATGATGAAGGGGATTTTTTTCTCATAAAATGGATTTATATTTACATTATAAATGCAAACATGAAAAAAATATCGATATTTTAGAAATCGATTTTTTGGGAATCGATACTTCAGCTTACAATTCGAATCTATTTAAAAAATCGATCTTATTCGGAAAGAATCGACATCCCTACTGACAATAATAATAAAAATGGCGTCAGTTTCACGCAAAGAGTATAATAAGTATATTATACAGGAAGTTTCTGGGTAGGAATTGACTAAATATTGCAAAATTATTTGATACGTTTAAAGAATCGAATCTTACGTGTTTCCGCATATTGAAACTTTGTGTGTGTGCTTATAAAAATGTAATCTTTCTGTAAAAATACGTATCAACACCAAACTCGACTGACGTCAATGGAAAGTCTCCAATTTTCGGTATTGACGACAAAAATATTAGCTGTGAACATCCTTATGATAGATCACGACGATTGTGGATGATTTCGGATTTTAATCATTTATTAAAATGCTTCCGAATATCTACTTTGGATGACAATTTACAGGAATTCCAGGTATAATAAAAAGTAATGCTATATCCAGTAAACAGAAGCACAAAAGATTATTATAAATAGTGTTATTGATGTTACAGACCCCTTATGGAATAGTAAAAAAGAAGCATTGGGAAGCTCTCTTAGAAGAGGAGAATTATCGTCAGCCCAATATGAAAATTGACACCTGCCCATTTAAAACCTAAAGGCTTTCAGACAATGAATGTGCCTCTTGCAACACAAGTATGTACATTTTTTTAAGTATATTTTTTTTTGTATTGAATGAATAGACTAGAGACGCTTGTTTGCTTTTATTATATTATTTTTATTCCCTTTATTTTAGGTGTTTGGTCATGAAGTATCAGTTGCAATGGCTCATTACCAATCTGTTTGCGACAAATTAAAAGATTCTACACCAACGCAAAAATTTATTGATGTTGTTTATAAATTAATAAAAGCTATGTCATCACGCGAGCCAAAAAAAGCTCTGTATGTGAAGGAAGATTGCTGTCAAAAACAAGTAAGGACATTTATTTAGTAATACATAACATTTAAATGTTTTACCAAGTACTGAATTTTGTAGTATTTTCTGCATGACATTTGTTATCATTGTCAGTTCTATTAGATGCTGCATGTCATTTAAACTACAAATGTTCACAGAAACAACAGAAATTGTACAGGAGTAATATTTTTCTGTTTTTGGATCCATGCTTTGTTGAAGTTTTAAAGGCCTTACAACTAATTAGAATTATACTTTTCTAGGCAATTTTGGATTTCTTACAATTTCTTGAAGATTGGGAGAAAGAAGAAAAATAATACCTGTATCAAGGAGTACATTACTAGGATTAAAAGTAACATTGCACGCAACACTACAAATATCGAAAATGTTATACATGGAATGTAATTATGAGTATTTAATGACAGCAACTTTGTCACAAGATCCTTTAGAGGTAATTATACAATATACAATTTTATATTCAATTATAATTGATTTCACTCATTTTATTTCTTTATAAACAATTATTTATTTTGAATTTCAGAGATTCTTTTCTGTAATGTGACATTCATGTGGAGGAAACGACCACCCTGATCCAAAAATGTTTGCACAAGTGTATCGTTTGGCTTCTTGTTTTTCTCTCGTACGTCCTCCAAAAGGATGTAATGTATCAAGGAAAGACCTGCTAAAAACTTTATTAGGAGCTCAAGGAATTTTAACTCCTCCCAATAAAGACAAGGAAATATGGCTTCAAAATATTGATATTATGGTTGAAAGTTCTGAACCATTATTGGAAGGTTCTTTAATTGATGAAGACCACGATTACAATGAGGTTGTAACCAGCGATGCCGTTCAATCATACATTGCTGGTTACATAGTCCGCAAATTGCGAAAGACTACAAAGTGCGTGAATTGCTTACAAGCTTTACAAATGAAAGCGGGAGATGGTAGACAATTACAGAGAAATTATGTCATTAATAAAATGGATTTATATGGTGGACTCATATATGCAAGCAATGAATTATTTGATTTAACGAAACAACTAGAAAAATATGTTTTGAGAACTATTAGTAAAACTCTAACCAATGTTAACACTATAAGTCAAATATCGCGAGAGCTAAAAAAAGAAGTTTTGCTAAGAGTAGGTTGCTTTCAACATGAAAAAGAACTGACTGTTAAAATTATTGATTTTAATGTAGTGATGAGATCCTATTTTTTGGCTAAATCTGAAAATAAACGCTATGAAGCTGCCAAAATTAAGACCAAAGCAAATAGGAAAAATGCCAAACTACTGTCATAACTACACATCAACTTGTTATTAATAAAAAAATGTTTAACCATAACTGTTGTTAAAGATGTTTATTTATATAATTTAATAATATAAATCGTTGAATATCTGTTTAACCTGCTTGTTGATTTATTTTACATTTACACTGAAAAATGCCAACCTACTATCATAAGTACACAACTTGTTATTAATAAAGAATGTTTAACTATAACTATTGTTATCAGTGATTGTTACATCATTTCTATTATGAATCGTTATAAGTAATAATTGTATAATTTATCATTTTTGTTATATATTATTATTTTTTAATTATCAAACATAAAATAGATTAAAAGTCATTGTGTTGTTTATAAGAATTATCATAATTTTCTCAGTTTATTTCTAATTTAGAATTTGAAATATTTACAAAGAATTAATTCACTCATCAGTAATATTTATAACAACGTTTTACTTATTTTCATATTAAAAAGTATTTGCATTGTATAATTCTTACACAATCGAACTGTTGTGCTAAGTTCAGTTTTGATAGGTAATAGGGATAGGCTACCACCATTGTGCGATATTATAAAAACATAAAAACGATTGCAATAATTATTGAATGCAATTCGTGTTGTGAGCACTAGTAAAGCAAACAACAAGTAATCAAGTGTGTTATTACACTTCCTGCGACTCCCGTAATACTATTGTTGAAAATGTAATCGTTAATAATTTTATAATTTAATAATATAAATAAAAAAATATTATATAATTTAATAATATAAATCATTGAATAACCCACTTGTTGATTTATTTTGCTTTAACACCATATTTATTCCATAAGACTTGTTATTTTTCTTTCAACAAATAAATTTTTAACAAGTTAAAATAATTTCAAATTTTACTTTAATTCCCTCGAATTTTCCGCATTACAATTTCTGACTGAAAAAAATAGTTTAAACGTTTGTTAATTTGATTGTATGAAACGACGCTTTTTTAATTTTAAATTTATATTCCCTTTATGATTATAAATCATAATATCATATGTTGCTCCGACCATATATTATATTGTTTGAAAAGTGCGCCAAAACCAAGTGGATTGGTCGGTCCTTGTTTATTTCTCCATCTTATTCTAATTACTTTTGGCGCTTTTTTTAAAATTTATCCTATGCTATCGCAGCGCCACCCTTTATTGGACGCGCTTTTACGGACACTTTTCATATACAGAGATGGTCCTCCTTCTACTCTATACTCCATGCATCACACCCATGGAGTATAGAGTAGTCTACTCTATACTCCATGATCACACCATTCACATACCATTTCATTAGTAGCGAGTGGCGACTGTGGAAATGAAAAATGCCAGAAAGGTCTCTCTACGTCTTTCGATAGATGGCGATGTAATCACATCGAATGCACCAGATGTAAAATACCGTAACCTCTGACGGGAGCGCCGTCAAAAGTGAGGATATACTTAGTAGTACATGAACTAAATGTTTAAAATTTCATATAGTTGTAATATTAAATAAAAAACAAATAATAAATACAGTAAAAGTAGTTGTTGTTCTTACATTTATTTTTTATCAACAGATGGCGCATGTAGTATTCTACATCACGTTATGGTTACACTATTCTACGACGTATATACAGTATACCGCAATTACTGTAAGTTAAACCTAGACTGGAAACGAGGCATTCTATTATATAATTTTTTTAAAAACTCCAATAGTTAATACCTATTGAAGTTTATAAAGTACTAACTCAAATTCAACAACTATTCGTTAATAGTTGTGTCAATTCTATTAGTTCTAATATCAGAATCAGATCTATATAAGAGAATAGTAATGGGTTTACTCATTTATTATACTTGAGGTTGAGGGAGTGCCTCAGTTTACCTCGCGAGGTTACGAGGAGAGGATCGCTCGTCGGCGTATTCATCCCACAAGGCGGGTTGTATTGTAGACATGGGCAATGTGTATCACTTAAAAGAAAAGATTGATATGTATCTTTTGATCACTAGGATATGTATCACTCTTTTATATCTTTATATCCTTATGTATCAGTAGATCAAGCTCGCGTTCACGACACGTATCGCATTACATTGCGTTGCTCACTCAGCGTGGCTCGCTTCGCTCAACTCAATCCTATCAGTAAGAGTGATAGATACCTATCGACCTATATATAAGACCTATAGAACTGTTTGCATTTTGCTTGGTCGTAACATTGTGTATCTTTCTGATATATTTGGCTGCTGTTTCTTTCTAGGTATCTATTTGTTATGATCAAAAAATTTAAGTTTTCTTATTTATTAGACATGCAAGGTTTTCCTTCATCGCCGAACACTTGGTAAATCAGCACTTAAAATTGCAATTAACAATTTCATTGGTGCCGGCGGGGATCGAACCCGGGTTGCGAGCGCTATTATTATTATGATTGATAAATATTAATAGGCACTTATTCGAAAAATTTTCTTAAATTTTTAATTTAAAATAATAATTAAATAAATGATTAACGTAAATAACATAAGTAGAGTATTTTTAATAATTTTAAACTTATATACCTACGGATTTGTTCGGAACCTTGGGTGCGCGAGTCCGACTCGCAATTGGCCGTTTTTTTATGGATATAAACGACTACTACTTCGGTTATAAAACTTTCTTAAAAACGATGGTTATATAACCGAAATTAGTTTGCATTGTTTACTAAAAAATTCATAGGCAAAGTACACATAAGTACAGTTTAAACCAGTATAATACTTAAATGTTAACGTACCGCTTAATGACTTTAAGCCCTATGCACCAGTCATAAAGTTATCAATTTACCTTTTTGTGCCAACGTATAATGGTCAAACAACTCACTCTCTCCGTCTTGCCAAAGCGCGACAGAACATTCTAAATAGTGAGCTGCGAAAGAAACATCTGTACTATGGACTTCGAAATCTTCCTGGAATGCCCAGCCACACCGGCCGAGATATAATAGAAAGCAGTGTGCGCAATGTGCGACACAGATGTTAGATATAAAAAGTTAAAAGATGCCTTGAGTGAATAAGTTGTAAAGATACACTGATACAGTGATACATTCGGATGCGGATGGATATAAAGAGTGATTGATGGAAACGGATTGATTCATATCTTTTGTATCTATCTTTCCTAAGTTATCCATCTCTAGCGGGTTGGCCTCCTTCCGAAAGATTTTGAAAACAGGGCGTGTTGTTACCATAGTCATTACATTTATACAAATAAATAAAATTGAAGTGTCTGTTTGTAATGTCGAAATAACAGCTTTTTACTATATGCATATGAAAGTATATACGGTACTTATAACAAAAACACGATTTTTAAAAATTTTGTCTGTCTGTCTGTTTGTTCCGGCTAATCTCCGAAACTGCTGGACCGATTATGACCGGACTTTCACTGGCAGATATCTGATATTGTAAGAAGTAACTTAGGCTACTTTTATTTTAGAAGAAAAATTCGGGTTCCGCGCAAAAAATTTAAATACATGAAATCCAATCGTAATAAATTACGCGCGGGCGAAGTCGCGGGGAACAGCTAGTTTCTAATATAACGCAAATAAAATTTGTGATCACCGATTTTGACGGGACTTTCACTGGCAGATAGATGATGTCATAATGAGTAATTTGGGCTACTTTTATTTTAGAAAAATAATTAGGGTTCCTCGCAAATAAAATTAGAACCCTAAATTAAACGCAGGCGAAGTCGCGGGGAACAGTTAGTTTTAAATATAATTCCTTACGCATTTAGCGCATTATCGTAATAAAGTGCGATATTTTTCCTTATCCATTTGTGTATAAAACATTTGTAACTATTCTAAAATAATAATATCGCATGTAGAGTGCTAAATATTTTAAATGTACATATGTGTGAAAAGTTTAATTTTGTGGATTTTCATATTCGGTTGGTAAGTCCTGTCATTTTTTTTCGCATGTCTCTACTGTCCTAAACATTCTATCGTACGGCAGGAATTAATGACCTCTTTTGGGTATGTAATATTATATCTCATTTATATTATTGCCTTGTTCACCAACCAGCGATA